ACCATCACATTAATAGCATTTGTTGTCATGAAAACATAGACAAAATCCTTAATAATGAATGCATTTTAATAATAACATCATACCTGCAAGAACTATTATGAGACTCTCAATAAATTTTGAAGCGAAATAAAATTAAAGATTGAGGAAAAGATTGTGTATAAAATTGAATTACGTGGGCCAGTTTTTGGTAAGTCTTTCATTAGAAAGACTTAATGAAGGAAATACAAGCGAGTGGGAGTAGTTTTGTATTTTGTTTTTTACAAAGTATGAAGTTTAGACAGCTGTGTTAATTGTCCTAACTCCTTGGCTTCAGTGGAGCTGACGGTTTATGCTGGTTCAGGATCTTCCCCCATGCATGATAAATTTAGTATCTACTTTAGTATCTGTAATTTAGTACAACAACTGTGAGTGTCATTCCAGACCAGTTACGGTAAGGACATAAATGATGGACATGGCTCTCTTCCCCACCCCCGCTCCCAGTTCTACTTAATATTTGTTAAATACTTTAACACAGTGGGCTGTGTTTTCCTCTCCTGAGTGTTTTGGCTGCAAGTAGAGAGTTTCCAGCTCTCACAATATGGTTTTCTTATATAATGGAGTCTTCCCTGCAAGTAGATCGCAAAGAGACAGATGGTAAACGTAACTTAGGCTGTGCTGTGAAGGGCTTATTTATAACTCACAGTAGCCATAGGACAGCAGGGGGGCCTCCCGAAAGGAGAAACCACAGAGGAACTGGACTTTATTTAAAGTCCTGGCTTCATACTCCCGTTGTAAAGAGTAGTATTCAGTTCAGGAAAATGCTGATATTTTTCCATGTCTTGTGTGAGGATGTTAATCATCCTACTGAAAATCAGGAACTTCTGTGATTTCTAACAAAGGGGAATTTTATTATTTATGGGAGGTTTTTTTGTCTGGTTAAAGCTGTACAACAGGTTTTGATCAGTTGAGGACTCTGACCTCCTCTCAGGAATGGAAATGCATTAAATTTAAGGATATGGATTTTGGGATTTGTGGGCCATCAAACCTTCTGTCCCCTTCATGGTTTTCTTTGTTCACATTGATTATTTTACCTGAAGCAAGGATTCTGCATGAAAAGTTGAAGAAGTTCTATGACCATAACAAATCAAGACGTCGGAGGTGACAGCTCACTCATTTACAGCAAAAAAATAAGATGCTTGAAAACAGTCACTTTTCTTTTACAGAGTATTTCTAATCTATTGCCTGGTTTCCTACATGTTGCTGGTTTTGTATTAAATTTTCACTCGAAACTTTGTAGAGATCAGTCTCTGCATTACAACCAGCTGACTCATTGTAGAAATGGCATTTTGTCTTCCACTCAGTTCCAGAGATAGCACCATTGGTCAAAGGATGGAAGTTAAACTTCTCTTCTAGGAAAAATTTCAATGTAGACCTCTCTTGAAAGTGGAACTGCAGTCTTGTACTGTCAGTATAAACATCATAACCCCAGACTAACATTTCCTGAGATACTTCATTTCATTTCTTTATAGGAAAGGTAAAATATGAGAGGATAAAAATAAAGACTAGTGTCAGGTGAATGTTAGAGTGATGACGCAGGCAAAGAAGAGCCTAGTAACAAGCTGAACTCATTTTTTGATCATGTTTATGTCTGACATTATAATCTGGGATTTTTCTGAGAGGGAAGCATCAGTGAGGAGCTCTTACAGCTTTGACTGAGGTATGTTGATCTCAGGAAATTGAAAGGAAATATGAGAATGAATCTTCAGATTGGACAGCTTCATAATAGGAGGACAAATCTCTTCTGAAGTAAGTACATACACAAGTAGACTCCTGTTGCCTCTCAGAGTAAGCGTTATTTGTATTAGATGGAAAAATCCATACTACAAAACAGGAATATATATATGTGTGCAACTTAAAATTATAACTAGTTCATCTCAAAAGGGAATTAGTAAGTCAAGGTTTCTTGGGATGGAAAATCTGTGAGCACATATTTCACGCAAAGCTTCCGGTAGATGATGGAGGCACTGTTCTTCCATGATTGGTAGGTGTCAGGACTTCTTGGCTTAGTCATTTCAATTCTCTCAGCAACAATACATTGACGGTATGGATCCTCTTCTAATGCTAAGACAGATACAAAAGAGCTTCAGTCTGCTTTTGTTGTCCCTGGAGCACTGGTCACTGTCTCAGGACCCAAGCCAAATCTCAAGGAGTTCTTCTTTTTTTCTTAAAGATTCTGGATCTTCTATTGGAAATTACTCATCTGTCTTGACGGGTGCCTGTGGCAGGGTCCTGCTGCTGCTCCTGCTCAAGGTAGATCAAAGTGCAAACATGGGTGGTATCATGTTCAGTAATGCCCTATTGCTTTATATCCATATCTTTTAGCATCAAAGGTTGAGGTAGGGTGACTTGCAGATGCAAAATGTCTTAGAGCCAGCTGGCTAACCTTCAAGCATATTAAGAGATACTGATGCCAAAGAACTGGAAAGTAGCCTAAAGTAATAGCAGATATGGCAGTATTCCAAATGTCAGAAATGTATCTGCCATCTTTAAGGCCCACAACCCCTTGGACTGGCACACTTTTGGAAGTTCAGACAGCAGGAATCTGCAAAGAAAATTTTTTCTGCAGTATTTGCACTTGTAAAGAAAATTTCAGATTTGTTTTTTGAGGGGAGGTCTCAAGGCTGCCACTTAGTGACACTGTCAAGGAGTTCAGGGAGTTGGAGCTATCAGAAGGGGTCAAGACAAAGTTGATCCAAAAGCTCAAAACCTGAATTGTGTTCTTAGACTCCTAATCTAATTCCTACGATTAATTGCACATAATAAGTAAATCAGATTTTAGAATATTCATTTTTTAAATGACTTTAAGATGAAGCCATATAGACGTAGGGTATGCTGTAGTGAGGGTTAGCAGCAACCTCCACTTGAGGTGTTTAGGTGAAATGAAATTCCTTGTGAAAGATGATCTTTGGGCCATACTTTTCTGCTCCAGCCCTGCATGAAGGCTGGAAAGTCTCTCTGCCCCTGGCTACTTCAGTGCATGAATTGTACCAGTGCATGATGTTGCTTTGTCTTTTCATGGGTTCATGCAGTAAACCTCTTATTCAGCTTCTGCATTTTAAGTACAAGGCTAAAGGCTCTCAGCCACATGTAGGGAAGAAAAACTTAGAGGAATAGCAAAAGAAGAGAACAGAGAAAAACTTCTCTAAGACCTGCTTAGAAAAACGAAGAAGTCAAAAAATTTTAAGTATCTATCTTTAAGGTTATACTGATCACAGTGGGGATTTTGCTTACACGCGTGAATTAAGCTAAAGCTCACAAAGACGTGCAAACCCAACTGCACAATATACAAATGCATATTAAAGTGTGTAGGGACCTTGAGACCACAAGGATGCTAGTGAAGTTATTTGCCTTTCATAACCTTTTTCCTACAATCAATTGCACATAAGCAGAGGTACAATTATCTGCCTTTCTAGACACAACAGGATTTTAATGTGTTATTGCTAATCTGAAACAGTCTAAATAGGAACTAACATGTAGCAATTTTATGTTCATGTGTTCGTAAGTGATGAACTGTAGTGTCTTGAATTGCTATCAGTCTAGAAATGAGGTATTTGTCAACTGTGATTTGGGGGGAATGACTTTCCATACTCATTTGTTGAAAAGGAACATCCAAGTGTTTTCAAATTCAGCTTCAACAGAAATGTTCTGGAAGAGTTTGAAATTTATAAACCAGGGCAGGGATCGATAGCTAAATGCTCCCATTTAATATGTTGCTACTCCTTTCATTTGGAAAAACATTTTTAACACCACATAAAAATTACAACGCTTATGATGTTTGTTCCTGAGAGTTAGAGAACGTAATGGCTAAGAACTATTAAGAACTTAACTTTCCATATCATAAGATGCCCTGACTTCAGTTCCTCTAAACCACAAGTGAGAACTTCCTTCCTGTAGTAAGCTACTTTTCTAGTCATTTTGCTTTGAGTCCTTCAGTTTGTTTGTTTGTACCATGTTTGGCACAGTGACTTTTTAGGCTTGTCTGGGACTCAGGGCATTGGTGCAGTACAATGACAGCTATGATTTCCTTCACCCCACAATCTCTCATAATCTAAAAAAAAAATGGGGGGAGGCAAAACGCTTGCCCTGAACTTGAAGTGCCTTTCTGTTGGGATCCCAGGAAATACAGCGTAATTTAAAATCTGTAACACTTTTCTCTTTAAAAATGCAGTGCCATTTCCAGCCCATAATTAAATGATATAAATTCTTTCTCTAAGGTACGTATGTGGCTTACCTAACTCATTTTGTAGTTTTTAGCACTAGTTTTTCCTAGAGTACCCCTAGGAGAAAGGAAAGCATTATTTTGTATTCCCATATCGGGTGAAGAGAGGTGCCAGCCTGGCTGGGACTCAAGCAAGAGCATTCACCCAGGTGGGAGATCCAGCTGCACCTCTGACATCCAGGTAGGTTCCCCCAGCCATGGGCCATCTTTCCTCCTGCCAGCTGTATAAAGGCAAAGCAGCATCTCCAGGAGGCCATGGAGTTTTGGCCTGAGCAGTCTGCAAACTTATTGGAACCCGAGCTCACTGGCTCACACATCAAACTGGAGTGGAGCGGTGGAGGTGCAGAGCACATTCCTTTCTGCTAGCATGAGCACTGAGAAAGAGTTTTGCAACACACCAGCCAGGGCAGCCAGAGCTTGGCTCAAAGTCTCCTTTATTAAAAAAAAAAAAATAAAAGGAAATTAAAACCCAATAGCTAAGATATATAGCATGCATAGAGAATCATAAGCTTGTTCTTTTAATTACTGTTGCACACTTAGAACCTATTCATGTCTCCAGAAGCCTCAAAGGACCAAATGAAATTGTGATACATCGGTTTCAGCCTATGCAAACTTATTTACTGGAAGATGGTTAAAGTATCATTTAAAAGGAAAAGAAAGGAGTATAACTTCAACTGTTTCTTTCAGGTAGAAACTGAAAGCAATCTTAAACAAACCAGGTGCAGAACACAATACAGTAGCCATGAATGACATTGCACAGAAAACTGAGGTATGTACCAATTTTAAAGTAATCGAAGTAATGTGGTAATTTACAGCTATGCTTGCAAGAAGAATAATTACAAACAATTGTAAAAGACAGTTATATTGGAAATCTGCTGGTATTGCTGTTAAGATAATGGAAGGGCACTTGAATGTAGTTTAATGAAACTGATTTGATGGAATTTGTGAAATACGTTTTTAATGTTATTAAAAAAAAACATGAAGGACAAAAGCAAAATAAAGGTAACAAAATATTAAGAAACTTTAAATGCTGGGGGGAAATTCTGGGTAACATTCACATGTAATTCTGAATTGTAAATATTAGGCTACTGAGCAACAGGAACAAAACCTATTGGTTTAGGTGGAAAATATGAAATATGGAATGTCTTCGGTCAGTTTTTTCAGCACCACTATATTGAGAACATTCCTGGAATCATTACAGTAAAAAGAGAGAAAAATTCATAGTAGTCCTGAAAAGTGGGAACTTTGCTTACTGACCTTCTTCTGTTTGGACATATGCAGCATAAGCATTGGCAAAGACGCGTCCATTAGCTGTCTCAGTATCAGAGTCCTGCAAGTCCACTGATCTTGGCGCTTTACAACATAAAATTGATGGATTTCCAAGTTTCTCTAAATATTTAAAAAAAAAGTATATAATGTGTTGGAAATTTTTAATTAACAAATAATACTATTTATTTAAAAAACATATGGCTGTTGAAGTGCTGCAGAAGAAACCATACATACTGTACCATATGTTTATGTCTTTATACCAGTGTTAAATGTCAGGGGTAGAGAGCCTCTTTGATGACTGCTTATGATCAAAATCAGCAGTATAAATCTATATCTGAGTACAGATTCAGATACATGGTAACTAAAAATGTACATATTCGAAGTTCATATACTTAGTTATATAGCTATTCATTACCGTTATTTACAGCCTAAATTTAATACAAGGCTAAATGTTGTTTTGGGCATTTCAGTATTAATTACTGTTTATGAATGAATACAATGATGCTTAACTGATGACAGCTAGTGGCACAAAGTTCATAATTCCAAATGCACTTCTGTTTTTTGTTTTTACATTCTTCCTAATCCAATCTATCAGAATATTTCTGTCCATCTGTTTCATCTTTCTTTTTCTTATCTTCATTTCTTCTTTATCTTCACCAAGATTCTGCTTTCTTCATCTAAACCCGTCCAAAAGTCCTATGTGCCCAAGCTTCACAAGGGGGATGTAAAGGATAAATTTGAAGCTATGCAGAAAGCAAGGGAAGAAAGAAATCAAAGGAGATCTAGAGATGAAAAGCAAAGAAGAAAAGAACAATATATTAGAGAGAGAGAATGGAACAGGAGAAAGCAGGAGGTTATTTTCTTTGCAAATATTTTGTTTTGTTTCAGTATTCAATATTGTATGTAAAAATATTTTCACATTATTTTAAGACAATAATATCAGAATTGTATTTAAGGTCTAAAGACAGTTTACTTTCTGTGTTTTGTCAACTAGATGAAGGAACTGCTTGGATCTGATGAAGATGATGACACAAAATCTAAAATTGAAAAAGGCTATGTTCCAAAGCTGATAGGTAAGAGAGACCTGGCTTTAAAGGCCACGTAATTCACTAGCTAAGTATTAGATGTAACTATTGAACTGTGCGTTTCATATTCACAGGAACTGTTAAAGGCAAGTTTGCAGAAATGGAGAAGCAAAGGCAAGAAGAAGAAAGAAAAAGAATGGAAGAAGAAAGAAAGCGCAGAATTGAACAAGATATGATTGAGAAAAGAAAAATTCAAAGAGAATTAGCAAAAAAGGCCCAGGAGGTATGGTCACTTGCTCACAATAGTCAGGACATAACTGTAAACACTCAACACAAGAAAAAAAGTTGTCTTGATCAGAAAGATCTGATCTTAAGGTTTCTGATAGTAGTGATTCACACGGGAGATGCTCAGTGGGATGGAAGTGGGGGATAATGTTCAGTGACTCTTCATTTTCACTTCTTTACAGTAACTGTTTTTTAAAAAGTGTTAAATCTGAGTTACAGATGAAACCAGGCAGGCAGAAACCTGATAGGAATGTGATTCAGGCACAAATTTTGGTGTCATAGGCATACAAGAGCTTATAGAGTCTTCTAAACTAATTTGAAAATGTTTCTTATATTTTACCAGTCCTTAGACAAATTTTGCTTATACATTAGTAAGTACAGTTCAGTGACAGATGAACTAAGGCAAGCAATAAGAAATAAGAAAATGCTACTGGCAGGCAGAAAGGAGAAGGTACTAATGCAGTACAAATCATAAATCATTAAGATCCAGATCATGTTTTACTCCTTTGCCACTTTGTGAAATTTTACTGCATATATATATATATATATATATGAACAGACTCCAACTTTTGTTAATGCCAAGAAAGCAAATTTTGCCTTTCGTAGAATTTTTCATTGGAGTATCATATTTAATTCCTTTTGCAAGTTTTCTTCAGTGCCGCAAATTCTGCTGTGAGTGAGCATCTAAATCATAGAGTAGAACCATAAGCGGATTTTTATTTAACCAAAAGACAGCAGTTCTTAATTTGGCTTTGGTTTTGTTTTAAGAAAAGAGTGAGTCTTACAGGAAGAGTCAGTTTCCAAGAAGGACTTGGATAGTATTTTCTGCTAAGACTTTTAACATTCTTAAAACTGTACTTTTAACTGGAAATATCTCTAGCATATATTTAATTAGTCTGGAAGGCAGAAGTACGTATGATGTAGAATTTTAGAAAGTGTGTTAGTTTTAGACACTAACATACAAAGGCAGCATATGAAGCAAAGACAGCGGTAGGCTTTTTGCAGGAGTTGAGGGGATGACAGCATGACTTGGATCAGAAATAATCAATGAGCTTGCTTTAGCTTTTTTTCCCTTCTTACGCAATTCTGGGATGCTTAAATGAAGAATGGACATGGAAAGTACTCTTCTCAGTTCATCACTGAAGAGTTAAGAATGCTTTAGCTTACTTTCTGTGTGATGTTTTATGTTCCTCTTCCTCAACAAGCTAACCTATCTGAAGTGTTCCAACAAAGGTTCAATCATGATCATCTCCATGAATTTAAGAAGTGCTACATATGTATCACTGCTACAAAAAGAATTTCCAGTTCTGTGTTTGCAAATCTAAGGCAAAGAGCCAAAGTAATGTAATCATATGAAATTCTCATTTAATAGATTGATGACTTTAACAATACGGGAACTGAATCAGCAGCTGAGGTAATCAGATTTTTTTAAGAAATGTTCACCTACGTTTTTATTCACTTTGTGTTATTATTGTAATTTGGGCTGGGAAAATGGCGCACAAATACCTAACTGAAATCCAACCAAGAAGCTAACACATTTTTAAAGTATATGGAATTGTGTTTGTACTTGAAGTCGATTTATTTAAGTTTGAAATAGAGTCTGCACTGTGAATACTCTGTGGTTAGTTAAAACTTACAAATATATTCAAAGCTACCAGAGGGATTTGAGGTATACTGGTAGTGATACTCCAAGTCCTCTGGCTTTGGAAAGTACCATCTTAAAAGCTCTTTGCCTTAAACTTGAAAGTAAAAGAGGATCCTGTCAATAAACAGATGCTTGAACACCTCAGTTAACTTCTTTTCTTAATTGACTAATTTACTATATGTATTTGGATTTTAATTCTTGTAAGTAAATGTTTTATTTGAAAAAGCTAGGTACAAATGTCCTACTGTCTTTCACTAACACAAGAAAATCACATTCCTACTACAGCTTTGGGGAAGAAAAAGAAATCTAAAACATTCATTTTAATTTATTTGACAGTATCCCTGGTAATCATGGTATTTTGGGGGGCAGAGAAGGATAAAGTACATGGTGTGAAAATAACTTTGAAGCAGCAATATCATTCAAAAAAATTACTCTGCCTGACAAATTACTTACTGGCCTCTAGAACTACAAACTTATTCCAGCCGCAGTGTGTCCTTTACACAGTTAATGTAAGACTGGAAGTAGAGTGTGGCTATAGTGTGGCATCGCAATTGTGATGTATTCAAAATTCCACCTGTTCTTCTCCAAACCATGAATGTGGTTACTGAAAATACGTAGAGTTTGCCAGCAGTTATGTTTAAAATGTAATTCAGTCTTGATGCTTTTCAGGTATTTCAAGGAAACTAGCGACTGCTACAGGCAAATGGGTTTATTCTTGTGGTTAACACTCAATACAACTAATTCTTTTGGAAGCTATGGTGCGCACAGGTGAAAACAACAGTTTCAGTAAGAAATAAGGCTGAAGTCAACTTTATGAAAATTAAATAAATATCTTTTTGGACAGGAAGGGGATGATTCGCTACTAGTTACAGTAGTGCCTGTAAAACCCACCAAAACACCTGGGAAGATGAAAATAAACTTTGAGAACACAGGAAAGGAGAGAGCAGAACAGACAGAGAGACAGGATGAAGAAATGAAGCTAAAATATGACGAACAAACCCCATCTCTTAAGGAAACCAAGTGCCTTTCATTTGTCATGGTAAACCACTCATCTAAAAATATCTAAGAAATAATTATCTATTATTTAAAACGTAACAATGTTATTTTCCTTACACAGGGTGAAAATGAAGACAACAAAACTCCAGAGTCTCTGTCTCCTGGTAAGCTGAAAGTGACATTTGAAGAACTTGAAAGACAAAGACAGGAAAATCAAAGGCGGCAAGCAGAGGAAGAAGCAAGACAGCGTTTAGAAGAGGAAAGACGTGCCTTTGAAGAAGCTAGGCAGCGAATGGTAAATGCATGTTTTGTTCATATTGTAACAGAATTTTCACATTAGGATATGCTTTTACATTCTTTCCTGTATCTGACTCTGCTTTTTTCTTACTCTTTAGTATATTGCTGGTTGTTAAAAGTCTGAAAATCAGTTTTTGAAAGATGTATTTTTGACCTTAGCTAACTCATTATCCACACTGACGTAACACTTAAAACATTCTTTTAGTAAATCCAGGAAATTAATGAGTTTTAAATCTGCCAGCAATCTTAGCAGGTGTTATATCTACACTTTATATTACCTCAAGTAGTAAGTCCTCAAGAAAATAATTAGTTGTCTGTTTTCTTCAGAACTAGTGCTTCAGATGTGTCAGTAACCAGTTTTTTATGAAGACATTCTGCAGTAACAGAACACTGTTTCTTATTCCCGTATTTATGATAAACACATCCATTACAACTTTGCTGTTATGAAGCAAGGTAAAAAAGACAGTCAGCTCTCTTGTATGTATTCACATAAACAACAATGTACTAGAAATTACTAGATTAAGCCCCAAATTCTCCGAAATGTAGCTCATTATTTTGTATTATTTGCAAAACTGTCTCTGTATGTGTTCCTTATCATAAACCACACTTATTTTAGATCAATTATAAACAGACCTCGCTATAGTTCTTTGATCATATTAAGAGTTATACACTTAGCCTTAACACAAGATATACCAGGTAGTTTGTTCTGTATTTCTTCACTTCACTGTACTCCAAAAGTATTTTTAAAGCTCTGTATTTAAATATCTTTCCCCTGTACAATTATGATCATTATGACTTTGTTAAGTCACAGAGAAGACAAATGAGAAATGAGATTTTAATCTTTCATTAAATCTTTGAAACTATTATTTCTACAAATTTGCAAACTTAAACAGAGTATAATAACTATGACTGAACATTCTTGGATAAACAGCTCAAGAACACTATATTGACTATATTTCAAAAAAATTCAAGACATTTATATTCTCAAAAAAAAAGAAAAAAAAAACCCCCAAACCACAGAACCTCGAGAAAGCTGAAACTGTGGAATTCCCAACTGGTCCAAATAGAGGGAGTTCTAGGTTTACACAGATACCTAAATTGAAGTTTACTCTTCCACCCGCCACCTCCGGTAAATCGTTTAACTGTTCCACACCAATAACCTCGACATGATGTCAATAATGCACTTTTCTCTTTTTATTTGGGGTTGGGCAGGGGACACTGGTGAAGAAGATCAGGGAAGAAAATGAAGGAGAGAGAACTTAATAAAGTCACTAGCTGTTCTAACTGAAGTTTTGTTCATGTCTCTCACCATATCTGCATTTATTAGTGAGTAATATAATTTACAACTTCTGTACTCCAAAAGAAATCCAAGATGTCTTCTGAAGATGGTTCAGTCTTTTGTTCTTGATTGCAGTTTGCAAACCACAGGCTTTCCTCTGCAGATGAGTGTTACTGGAGACAAGCAATAGTGAAGAGATCAGAGTATCTCAGTTCCCTTTCTTCAGTGATGATTAAATGTCTAAAAAGAAAAGAAAGAAAAATCTCAGTTTGTAGTAATAGCAAAGTGTTAATTGATTTAGTTTTGCTATAAAACTCTACAGCATTTTTTTTTAACTGGTAACTGCATTGGTGAAAACAATTTATATGCAAACAAAACGACTTGACAGCATAAAGGTCTATGAAAGAGATGTAAAGAAAGTGAATAGGGAGTGATTTAAAGTAAATGATCCATACCCGAGACCGTAAAATACATACTTAGTTGTTCAGCCTTTTCGTTATAACACATTATACTTTGAATTACACACTCAACAGATTTTTAGAAATTACTGAAGCTACGTATAGGTTATGAAAATACGTTTCTTTTCTCCTTCCCATGGCTAAAACGAAGATTAAAATATTTCTCATAGGAACCACACTCTCGATACACTTTTTCTCCCCAGGAATAAAATATAATTATGAAAGATCAGAAAGGAATTAATGAAGTATCTATTTACTATAAAGAATATTTTTATGTTTGGGTAAAGTCCTTTCTATTTATTCCTCTCCCTCTTCTCTGAAGATAAACGAAGGTGATGATGAAGAATCTGAAAATTCCATTAAAGAATTCCGTCCTAGTAAACTCAGACTCAGTTTTGAGGAGATAGAAAGACAGAGGAGAGAAGAGGAAAAGAGGAAAGCAGAAGAAGATGCAAGACGACGCATTGAAGAAGAAAAAAGAGCATTTGCTGAAGCAAGGAAGAACATGGTATGGCATTTCTGTTTAGGATATAGTTTAGTTTTTACCTAAGTAACCGTAAAGCAGCTCTGGGGAAAAGCTCTAACTACAGTTAAGAATGCATGCTTAACTTCTTCAGTAATTAGTTTACCGCAGTACTTACTACAAGGTAGTGGGGTAAACTGATCAAGATAATTTACCAAAAATCACAGAAAAATCCTTCCTCACAGCAAGCCTAGAAAGGATTCAATAATTTAGTCAGTATCAGATATTGTGTCCAATGAGTATTATTATGCTAGATGCAACAAATTTAGAAAGCAGAATGTTTTCACAGGTAGGGTTTGTTTTTTTGGGGGGAAGAGCAATTCCTCTTACTTCTCCAAGTTTATCATCTCCCTACCTTTATAGGGTAGCAACCTCAGTTCTTACTAGCTAAATGCTAATTAATGGCATACTAGAGAAATGCCCACTGTAAGTACAAATTTTCTATTCACCTGTGGCCCTTTAGGAAGGAAAAATTAAGATGGCTGAAATCAGCTCACTGGTATTTTTACTGCTTATTAAGAGAAACAAAAAGCATAACTTGTGGCATTTAAGGTTAGAACAATTTGTAATATGGAACTTCCTTAGACACATTTAGATTTCTGTGATATGCGATGACTTCTAAAATTTGGGTTAAGATTACATTGAAGAAAAGTTTTCAGGGATCTAGGATTGAGATACTGACACTACCCAAAGCAGAGAAAGATGCCCAATTTCAGAAGTGGGAAGATTATTTATAAAAAATAACTAGCATGGAGCTTTTCACTGTATTCTTCATGCTTATTCCAACAACTCCAAGTTTCAGAAGGCCTTTGGATAGAAGCCAGTTACTTACTGGTGGTTGTTAAGAAACACAGGATTAAATTACACAAATCCAACCTAAACCTAAGTATTTGTTTCAAAAGGAAGGGCAAGACCCACCATACAGAACTGTGGAATAACCCAGTCATCTGGCAGTGTCTTCCTACATGCCCCTCTGTGGTTTTATTGGGAAAGACCAGCTGTGTAACTAATAAAATTTTCTTCATCATGCAAAGCAATGCTTGTGAGACAAATTAAAACTTTGTATGATTACTAATACTGCTAGCAGTGCTCCCTCTGCCTGAAAATTGGGCCAAAGACAAGACTTAGATGCTGAAAGGCTATCTGGAGAAACTACCACGTACATTTATATTTGATATTGTACTGGTAAGCAATTAGGGAAAATGGTGGTATGTCCATACCTCAGAAGACAGAAAATTGAAACTAAAGCCACCAGAAAATAAATGAGTGGTACTGGACTTTTGCCATTATATTACATTATGAAAAGCCAGCAGCCAACTAAAGAAAAGCAAAGAAAGTATGTGCCATCCTCTGGCTTTTTTCCTGCTTTCTTGAGAATCTGCCTCCATGTAGCAAGAACCTAAGCTCAAGCATCCAGGCAAGAAAAATCTCACTGATTAAACAGGGTTTAACCCATTAGATGCAGCACAGAGCCTATGATTGCACTATCACTGCAGACAGTGAAAACATTCAGTAATCTCAGAAATTAACTGAAAATGTATTTTCAGTTAATAGGTTTGAAGTTTTCTCTTAATTAGCATCCTGAATATACACATTTCCTATTGCTTATAACACAAAATACAAGACCATGCTTTCCCTATATTCCACAGCTACACAATGTGTAGTACACAAATGCAGATGTTCTTTTAAACATTTTAACATATTAGTCATCTCTTTCAGACATAATAAAACCTCACACAATTTTTATATAAGCATTTAAATTAAGCCGTTATTTTAGAACCTTTTTCATGTTGATTCACTTTAGTTTTGAAAGTGTACACACACAGAAGTAGTAATATTGTTGATGGAAAACACAACCATCACCTCCTTTTGGAAAGATCTCCCTGGGCCATCTTTACTTGTTCTGCATTCAAACTTCCATGCTTCCCACCACCAAGGTAATCACTTTCAGACTGAAGCATTCATCTTTCACCCCTTGCAGTGTCTTTCTATTAGAGCTTGCATAAAGAACCTGTCTTAGCACAGATAAAAAGATACTTTTTTCTACCAGTCACTGTTTCCCACTTAAAATTTGTTGACTGCTGCAAACTGTGGTTGGTACAGGACTGTTTCTCACTACCATCTGTTCCCACTTCACAAAATACAGCTAAAATATTTACTGAACCAACCACAAGGAGTTTGTACATCACACAATTCAGCTGAATTTTTTCCTCTTTTTTTTTTTTAACCAGGAATAAGTTGGGTTGCTGCCTTTTTGTAACTCAGTGATTCAAAAATACAAAGCAGACAGCTGCTAGTGTTTGCTCGCATGCACAACTTGTTAACGCTTACACATACATGCATTGGTAAATTCTGAATTAATGCTTCTCCTACGCACTTAGGTTCCATATCTTCTTGAAGTGATGAGCATACGAACTAATGCATCATAACAAGAGACTTTTACATTTCTTTGCTAATTTAGCTGTGATTAGCCTCTAAAAACTATGGGGCTATGCACTGTTTTCATTAAAGGAAATAGTTAACGGCCTTGTTTTCTTGACTCCACTTCTCCATAAAGCAGTTGCAACAAATCTGCTCATATTATGCAAAACAAATGAAGAATGGAAGGAATGGTGAGGCTGAAGTCCAACTGTAAGCTTACTCAGAGGGAAAATCCAAAGGACATCTATTATGAATAGCAGCAGTATTTGAATGGGATCGAGGAAAAAAATAGATAAAGAGCTGTAAAAAATAAAAAGGATATGGGCAAAATAGGTCAAGACAGACATACAAACTGAGACGGCACAAAGAGCAGTGAAAGGTGTTAAGTTACAATGGCAGTAAGTAGCAATAAAGCAAAAAGAGAGTGCCAAAGAATCTTAAAAAAAAAAAAAAAGTTTCTGTTTCTTTATGAAGTTAGTCAAAACACCTTCTCAAATGAAAGTTTTGCTCCTTTAATTCTTTCTAGCATTTGACTGATGATTACTGTTGGGAATACCTACAGTTTAAGGAACATTGGGCTCTTCCATATTTGCAACAAGGCTTTTCAAACATGCACTGATTAAATAGCGCCAAAAGCCACATCACCACACAGTTCTAGATCAGTATCTGACTTCAGAGAGTCATAGAATGGTTTGGGTTGGAAGGACCTTAAACATGATCTAGTTCCAACCCCCCTGCCATGGGCAGGGAAACCTTCCACCAGACCAGGTTGCTCAAAGCCCCGTCCAACCTGGCCTTGAACATTTTCATGCATGGAGCATGCACAGCTTCTCTGGACAACCTGTTCCAGTGCCTCACCACTATTATTTACATTTCCCAACGTATATTTGGGGGTTTACACTCCTCCTTGGACTTGGTCCTGGAAGCTCCATCCCAACACCTTATAACTAGCTATTTAGTTAGAGCAAATGCAAGACTAATGCAACCCAATTTTTCTTTCCAGGGACAGCAAATTAGAAAGACGGCAGAGCCCCAGACAACAAATTACCTAGTTCTCGAAAAAGCAGAAAAAAGCAACCCCACAGCTTTGCATTGAAGAATGTGAGATGAACACAGTAAATTGAAAACCTCGCATTTATCTACATAATATTTCTGTTGAGTCCATCTCTGTTAATAAATTTATGTAGTTACATGCACAAACATATGTTTATATAGGTTTTATAAAAAAATTATTTAAAACTTTACTGCTTAAACTCAAGGGACTGTCATGCTCTCTGGCCATTTTTGTAGCATACAGTTTCCTGTTTTGGTAAAACTGCTTCAACAAGTTCAGTCTGATAAAATACTTGTTCTTACACTTCCTGCTTTTGGAAGTAGTGAAATTCGGCTCTACCATCTTATGAATTAGCTACAAAATAAGTGAACTGCTCATGAATGACCATGCACAATGACCTAGCCCTTCCTGAAAAAGGACAGAGAAAGGAGGAAACCCTTGCTGTTGGGTTGTATGAACCAATGAACTCGCAACGTAACTTTGTATAATCAGTTTGTGCACAAGAAGAGTTTCCTGTAGAAAATTCTGTTCAGTTCTGCTTCCTGGGAATACCAGTATTGCTTCAGAACAGGAATTTAATTCAGTTTGCTTAGGAAAAGATTACAGATACACATACTTCAGTGTTAAGAGTAATGACACTGAAACACAACACATTTTGTGTAATGATTGTCTAGGAAATAAAAGGGAATGAATTATTTCAGGTCCCAAAGCTGCATTTAGGAGACATCCTGTCATCACCTTGCAAAAAAGACTGTTTTTTAATAATCACCTTCATCCTCATTATAAAAGTTCAGCATTGTAATAATAAAGCTAAAGTCAAATACAATCCCCCCAAACACACTCCCTCCCAAAACATTAAGAGGAATATCCACATTGCATCTTAGTGTGCTGTGGCAGATGTGGCAAAATACTTAGTTATCTTTATGCACTAGAGTGTCTGAGCACTGCTGTGATTTCATCACAGGAATCATTAATGCCCTCAATTTCCAGCAGGTGCTGGATGATGAATCGCCAGAATTGTTTAAAACATTTTCTCAAGAATCTCTTGTACCTGGTAAACTGGAAATTAATTTTGAGGAGTTGCTGAGACAAAAAATGGAAGAAGAAAAGAGACGCACAGAAGAAGAGCGTAGGCAAAAGTTGGAAATGGAGAAGCAAGAATTTCAACAGTTAAGACAAGAAATGGGAGAGGTTTGTATATCAAAGGATATATTATGCATATTCTGAATAAAAGTAAAATAGGTAATTTCAGTTAATTATTAAAATCTCAAAGTTTACGAATGTAACAGAATTCTTTTAGAAGCATTTTTAAACCAATACTTTCAGCATTACATTAAAAGCATGAAACCCAGAAAAACATATTTATACAGTGTTTTAAAAATAATTTTATCACTAATCTACCAGGAAAATGCTTTTATCCCTTGCCACCCTAAAAGTAAAAACACAATTTCAAACTTGTAATGTTATTTTACAGTCACTTCTGAAAATTGTACACCATTACTAAAGCAATTATGTAATATTGACAATAACAGGAGAGCAGAAACATCTAGTTCCTAAATGAAAACAGAAAACTGAAAGTAAGAAAGAGCAAAATTCTTCCTTTTCCTCAAGGAATGCTGTGTTAACTAATTAGGAAAGAATGACAGTGGCCTCAACTTATTTCTAGTCAGTGTATCAAGGGGTTTGAAGACTGTCACAGTTGGATCTTAAAAATCACACGAAATTTGCTTTGCATACCAAATGTTTAAAACACCACATTCATGAACTTCTACGCTCCAATTTGATTTGGTTGTGGGTGGCGATTCTTTATTATTCTCTTTTGAATGTTAGAGGACTACATTTTTGCTAAGCTAAGCTAGCGAGTAATTAAAGGCTCCAGTTTATACTGGAGCCTTTATTCACTTAAAGTTCTCAAGTAAATTTCATATTACATGCTGGGGAAGAAGAAAGACAGACAGGGTCCTCTAACTAAAATGCATATACATCTTTACTGTCAGTCAGAGGTTATAAAAAGAGGAAGTAAAATAGCAACAGTATCAGCTTCAGACAGGCTTTGACTACAAGATTCAGAACTGCCATTTCTTTTCCAGCCACAACATCCTGAAACTTCATTTGCTTTTACTGAATTAAAAAAAAAAAAAACAAAAAAACAGTATTTTTGTAACAAATTAGCTGTATTTTAGAAAGTTACTTCATATCATATTGCAAGCAAGCCAGAGAAGTAAATTCTTGATCGAGGATAACTAAGTTCTTTGTATTGCTAGGTGTCTGGTTTTCTGAGTCTGAAAGGTGGCTTATTGACAGTAATTTTGAACAAAGGGTTCATTTAAGCAAGATATTGTAAAACCTGTATCTAGTCTAGAGAATAGCAAAGAAAAAAAAAGATACAGAGAAAATGTCTCTGCTGATTTTAAGTAACTAAGAGAACTGTTCAAATGTATTAAGTTACACCTATCTGTGGGGAAAACAGGTAGTAAAATTATCTATGGCATTTTCCATCTTAAACATTCTGCAATTTCTGAACAGCTGGAAGAAGAATGTGAAACTTTCGAGCTAAGCAAAGAGTATGAAGAATTAATAAAGCTAAAAAGAAGTGGTTCTATTCAGGCAAAGAACTTAAAAAGCAAATTTGAAAAAATAGGACAGTTGTCTCAAGAAGAAATACAGAAGAAGATTGAAGAAGAGCGAGCCAAGAGAAGGGCAATGGATGAAGAAATAAGAGAAAGAGAAGCTGAAAAATTTCAAGAGGTAAGTTGCATTGTGTATGTTAATGATGTACTTAATTCACACACTAATGATCCAGGAGTGGACAGTGCTGGTGCTTTCAAAGTTTGCTACATTTCCAAAGTTCTTTTCTCCCTTCTTTCCTGTTCCCTTATTTGGATGCATGAGGAAGTCTCACCTCAGCATCCCTGAAGGAAACAGCACCAGTTTATTATCAGTCATCTGGTCGAGCAAAAATCTGTTTTCTGCTCAAAGTCCTCAATTCCGCATCTTAACAACCTGAAACCTGTCAGCCTGAGGGTTTGAAACATTCTTATTTGAGAATTACTCTGTTAATCATCACATGAATTGATTCTCCTTCTGAACTCTAATTCTGTATGAATTAAAGCCAAAACAGGAAAACTAAACAATACCATTTGAAGATCAAGTTTTAGAATCTTTACTCATTTCTCAGGGTAAAGCAGAAAAGGAAGCCTACTTATCTATGCCTCTGACTGGAACCTCTGGCATTTTTCAGAGGGGAAAACCAAGACATGAAGCTATCAATCTAAGCAATAAATTGACCCCATGCTCTGTGACCCAGAACACTAATGTCAGGTTTCATGATGCATCACATGGCAGTGCACAAAACTTCACAGCAGCAAGCCTGATCTAAGCCTCATTCTGAGGTTCCCATTCCCAGTGATCAGTCACTTCAGTATCTGCTCAATGTCTACCTTTTATTTTTGAGCTTTTAATGACTGACAGTGTAATGATTTTTCTGTAAGGTCAAACTGTGTTAGGTGTTGAAGCTTCCCCAAACACTATGGCATAAAACTCAAGTCACTAAGGATTTACCATTGCCACAAGATAATATTTTCCTCTATCCTTGGGTTAAGGTATTAAGAGATTTGACCTCAAACCCAACATCAAACCAGCCTCTCAGAAAAATAGGACTCTACACGGCTTCGTTAAGAACTACTGCTCTACAAAACTGTTTATTATTATACATATTTAAAAAGTAATAAATGCTATTTTTTAATTTCTCCTTCCCAAGGATGATGAGGTAGATGTGAGACCAGCCAAGAAATCTGAGGCTCCATTTACTCATAAAGTAAACATGAAGGCCCGTTTTGAGCAAATGGCAAAAGCCAGGGAAGAAGAGGAGCAGAGGAGAATTGAAGAACAGAAGTTACTACGTATGCAGTTTGAACAAAAAGAAATTGATGCAGCATTACAGAAGGTATAAATTACAAAGTGCCTCTTCCTCAGTCCTAAGTGTCATTTAACTTAGCTTCTGATTACCACTGATGGCAACATTGCCAGAGGTATAAAAGGAACATTATGCTATTTTAACAGCTGCTGTGAATTGCTGCAATAATGTAAAATTGCTTTTGGTGTTTTCACGTATTCTTGACAAGTACGAGAAATACTGCAAGAGTAGTTCATTGTATCCTCTAAATAGTCTGAAAATGGGATTTTTATTTTTAATGCTTATATTTTGTCCTAAGACTACAGCCTCGATTGTTCCGTATCTAGATTCAGTGCATTACGGTATCTAGTGAGGATAGGTAGGGCACTTCCCCTTCCTAAAATGCAGTTACTTTCTGTAATCAAATGTTATCGCTGGCAGTGATACTGCTCTTGCCACTTTAAATGTTCTAAATCAACTTATTTTAAAACAGAAAAGAGAAGAGGAAGAAGAGGAGGAGGGAAGCATTATTAATGGTTCTACTTGCGAAGATGAGGAGGATCAAGCTCGATCTGGAGCTCCCTGGTTCAAGAAGTCACTGAAAAACACATCAGTTGTTGATGGCGAGCCAGTGAGATTTACAGTTAAAATTACTGGAGAACCAAAACCTGAAGTTACATGGTGGTTTGAGGGAGAAATGTTGCAGGACTCTGAGGACTATCAGTATATTGAAAGAGGAGAAACCTATTGCCTTTACTTGCCAGAAACCTTCCCAGAAGATGAAGGGGAATATATGTGTAAAGCAGTCAACAACAGAGGCACATCTGCTAGCACTTGTATTCTCACCATCGAAAGTAAGAGTTAGCATTTTCATCTGCTTCATTCTCATCCTTCTTGCACCTTTCCTATTATGAAATCTAATTATCTGTTTCTCTTACCCTTTTATTTTCTAGCTGACGACTACTAATGCTCTACTTTAGCTGGAATCTTTCTTCCCCTCAAAACTTTCTTACTGCATCATCTCTTTCTCTGATGGGGCCAACTAAAGAAAGCAAGGATATGCATTGTCATTCCTGCATCAGATAAGAATAACCTTCAGTTGTGAGAGTGTCCAGGTTCCTTGCTCAGTACAGAAATTGGTATTAAAGTCTAAAAAGAAGGAATCAGTGTATGAAGGATCAACTAAAGAAAAAAGCCAAATTATAATAGTGTTCCCACATTTGAAGACCAACTGTTGTGTAATAGTATAAAGCTAAATACACAATCTGGAAACTTGTGTAGTAGTGTAAATCTATTGGTATATTTTGCATGACCACTGAATATTTAAGCTGTTCTTTATCTCAGAAGCATTGAACTGGCCAAAGGAAATACTTATTGATGATTTTCAAAAACTCCAGTGTACTATTTTTAAAGAATAAAAGATTACATAACTGCTCACTTTTGTTGTTTTGTTTTAAAGAGCATCGGTTACTTTGCTTTAAAATGGGCTTGCTTGTTGATGCCACTGATAATCCAAAACTAAAAACAGTCTCAGTAAGGCTTGTAGTAGTCTTCACAGTCCCAACATTTGCTTGTAAAACTGCTAATTTTTTCATTGCTTAAATGATACAGGAACAGTTGGTGACAGCTATGACAGGCTCATATTTTAAGTTGATGGGAAGCAAGCTTTAAGAACATTATTTTCAGGAAGTGCCTAACTTCTCAATCTTTTTTTCTTTCTTAATGCAATAAACTGCTGCATCTCTAAACATCGTCTTCTTAAGGCTACTGTTCTGTTTTACTTTTTAAGACCTCTTGACATCAACACTAATGTCATTCTGCTAACACCATCTAAATTTTTCAGCTTCACCAGGAGTAATTTTATGAACAATAATCACATTTTAAATTAAAGAACATGTGTATAAGCCTTAACATAAAGACAAGATAGCTGCAGCAAATTAGATTTATGCAGTTGTTTCCGAAAGAAATTTTCCTGTGGTTGAATCTGCTGACTGCTCTTTGTACAGTCACCTACTGAAAATTCGTCTTCTGCAACAACGGAAGTTACAAATTCAGAAACGTCTTGGGGAAAAAAAATGGTAATAGGCTGCATGATGTTTTGAGTAAATATTTATCTTAATAGCCATATAAATACATTTTACTTCATTTCATGTGGGTGTTCTTCATTTGCAGAAGTACTAGTTAATGCCAAGATCTTTACTCTGAAACTGTTATCTCAAACTAACAAAGGGAGGGATAGGAGCATAAAAAAGACAAAAACATTGCTATTATTATCCATCAGTTTACATTTATTGAGAAAAAAAACATACAAAAACCGTAATACAGTTAACGTGTACCCTTATTTCATACAATGTCAATGCAAGCTCAAAACCACATTTTTGTAAAGCATTCAATTTACCTCAGTCCAAGCTGCATCTCCCTAAGACACTGTTTCCATCACAGTTGCCTTTTAAAGCCAATCTTCTTTTTACACACGGGTAGTTTCTGCAGAGAACACTTTTCTCAGGACGAAAAGGCATTTCACATGCACGCAAGAGAAATATTTGTGCATACATAAGAGTTTTATAAGCTATTACTCGGGAAGAGGGAATCCTGTCAACTGTATGCTTTCTGAAAATCCCAGTCCTCCCTTCCTCCCCCCTCTTCCAGAAAAAAAAGGCAAAATAAAAAGCTTCTAGCATGCAATGGAAAAAACTTAAACATTACTTTAGAAGAGAACAGGGGAGAAACAATTTCTGTCATCCCATAAAACACCACTAGTAAAAAGATGAAATACTTGAAGATAGGTTGAGGTTGTGCAAGTAAATAATGATCCTCTCTGCCTGGACAACTTAAAATATATGACTTATGATAAAGCTAGACTGAAGATTATCCACCTGACGTTTTATTTCATGTCCTATTAAAATATGGGCTACAGAAAGTGATATGAAAACACTTTTACCATCATGCTTTCCTTTTTCAACTTTCTGTACTCTTCACATTCTAAATCTGCGGGACTCTTTAAGGGCAGGGAGGGAATGGAGGAAACATTTAAAGACACCTTTTGGACAAGTTAATTACATTTCTAAGGAAGTCCAGTCATGTTTTTGGATCAGGATAGCTCCAATAATCTGTTCCTGTTCTCCCAAGAACCATGAGCTTGGAGACAAAGTTGAAAAATAAGCACTATGCTTAGCAAGAACAGCATGCCATGTAAGCTCAGCAGTGAGAAAGCTGCAAGTCAGTACACCTCAAATGCTACACACAAGAACATCTCACTTTCCACACACTAGCAACATTCAACTCGCATTTTCTTCTCTTATCTCCTCCCACTGTCTAAATTTAAAATTGAAAGACTGTTCAAGATATTTTAGAACAACAGTTGAAGAAAAAAGTATCATGTAAAAGGAAGTGAACAAGTGACTCGCCCCAACACTAAATTCACAGTATCAAAATCCAAATGGTACACACCTAACCTTTTCTCACGTCAAAAATGAAGTTACACATTAAACTACAGATGAAATATTAAGTGGCTTGAGAAACTGAAGCACAACTTAATTTAGTTCAAAAACTCAATATATCTAAGCTCGGCTGTTTAGAAGAATATAAATTAAAATAGATGGTTTATATTATTAAATCACAGTTTAAAAAACTTAACAGATTATGGAACATTTATGGTCAAACAATAATACTTTAAAGAATGAAAAGTGATCAGAACAAAAATTATACCCTACACCATTATGTATGGGATACATTTCAAATCTGTTATGTTTTTGCCAATTTTACCTTCTACATGGAGCCCTTCTACGGTCCATGCTCATCGGCTCACCAATGGCATACACTCAAAGGATTCCTCTTTACTGGTAGTAACTATCTCAGGACCTGATTCTATGAGCTATGATTTGGTGCTTGCAGCATCTTCAGCACTGTGTGTGAAAATGAAGGCAGTATTTTTGAATATTTTTCTTTGATGTACAGATAAGCAGGACTTTTGCAAGAGCAGCACATTTCAGAAATAGAATAATCAACAAAAAAACCCAAATAGATGCTGCTTTACATTAAACTAAAAAAAACCAAAACCAACCCCAAACAACCAAAAAACCCCAACAAAACCCAAACCAAAAACCTGTACCAGACCATCTATAAGACATACAAACATTTTAAACTATCAAAATATACAGCAATTCAGTTAAAGTATCAAGAAACAGGATACACTGACTGCTATATAGATAAAATATTATTTGCTGTTAACATTTAATTGGTGCACATGCTTTTTCATTTAAAACATACTAATCTCTGAAACTCCAGAATCTGTTTTCCTACCATGTCAAGGATGAATAAGCAAACTAAGTTATCTAAAAATTCCACTAACACACTATAACTGTTAAGACAAGTTATCGAGTTCAGTGATAACAACAAGATGCGATATTCTTCATATTTAGGTCTCACGGGTTTAAGTGGGTACAGTGCCCTACTATAAAAAACATTTGTGAAGGCTGTTGACGTTTCTAACCAAAGCAATTCCTGCATATTTTAAAGGTTTTGATTCTTTAATTGCAACAATTACCTATTTGAGGAAAAATAACAGAAATTACTTATTCTGATCAAGTTTAATTACTGCAATCCACTAATCTTGTCTTAAAAAAAAATAAAGAAAAAAAATACATATTTACCTAGAAATATAAACAGTTGTTTAAAAACTTAAGACTTTCCACTGAAATGGAACCATGAGTAACAATGCATTTGGGGAAGCAGCAGACTGCTTTTCAATACACAACCACAAAGATCTCACAGGGACAACATTAATGTACTGATATATATTAATTTATATACTTCCTTAGGTTGTGCTTACCTGTTGCTTTTTTGCAGCAGAACCTAAGGTGGAAGGTCTGGGAAGGCACTGTGAAGTATAAATAATTGCACTGTTTGCAATTAATAAAGATTTTATACCTTAAATGAATCAAAATCAACAGCCTCCATTTTGTGAATGATAAAAGAATCCAGTGAATTTAATTCTGCTCAGTTTAGTACATAATAAATGCACCAATCTATAAGGTTATCTACAAAATACCATGCAAAATATCTGAACTATTAAACTTCATAACCTACACTAAAGATATCAAATGCTGTCCTAGCCTTTTTTAAGCTACCAGAATAATTCCTAATTTTAAAACGGATAAAAAGAATTCCTTCTATTTCTACAGCACAATACATACATTGCTAATTACTTGAATAAACTACTTCAGTTTTCAAGCCTTAACTTCTGTGCAGCCACCCTAAAAGAAATTATTCTCAAAGCAACAATATGGTGTTCCAAAAGATAAAGCAATTTAACAGTTATAGAATTATTTAAAACATACCTACATCACTATATGTATCTGCAAACTATCTGAAGGCAAAGACAACTTCTGTCTAACAACTGGTTCCAAAGACTTCAATGTTACGATATGCATACTTTAAAACACTGAACAATACAGCTGTCTCAGGAGTACTAATAAAAAAAACTGTTACTCAGATAAAAAGAAACACGATTTTCTTTAGCTATTGCTGAACGGTTCAGGAATACTTACCCAACAAAGCTCATATTATGTGTATGTGCATATATATACGCAAACCTATGTTTCTGAATTAAGAAGCAATTATGGTTTCCTAAGATATCAGCACTGTATTCCAACATAATAGTCACACAAGTATGGCATTTTCATTATGTGGAACATTGACAAAAAGATACTGTTGCAGTTCATCAATTTGTCATTCTGATGTACTTACAGTGCAATGCTCCTTGAAGGAACAATCAAGGATGATACACAGCACAGTCCTCCTCACCCCTATAGAGCTAGTTCTATACTGGCTGGATCAAACCTGCACTTCAACAGACAATGGCAAGACAGACTGTATTGCATGTAGTCTAATATATGCAAAGAGCCAATAAATATGCAAAGAGCAAACATAGGATTTCAAGAGAATCAGATTTTTAGTATGAGCATTAGAGCAATAAGAAGTTTCAAGTATATATAAAAAATATTCAGTTGATTCAAATGCTTGAGTATTTACAAAAACAGAAGTTATCTGCTCTGCAGGAAGTTCTCAACCACTCCCCATCACTCAAACAAAACAGCGTTTTAAGGACAGATGCAATTTTTGTAACTACTATGCATACCACATTGACTTTTCTACACTGAATTTTGAAGTGGACTACTTTAAACTGAAGGCTTAAGCACATTACACTTAAAATAACTTTTATAACTAGTCTGAAAAAATCCATATAATAGTTACACAGGAACAGTTTTGAAGTATTCCATTAAGAACAAAAATTATGTTATAGCAGCTGCACAGGTCTGAAACAGTGGTCATGTATAAAAGGAAATTTCACTGTTAATGCAATGGAAGTATGCCAAAAAAATCACTGTCTTAAACACATGCAGTTTTACTCAAATAGAAAGAAAA